TTTTCATTTTGACCAATAAATGTGAGACTAAGAGTTTACACGAAAACGAGGCTAAGGGGCCATTGCCCCTTTGGGCCCCTCAGCCTCGTTTTCGTGTTAAAGCTTATTCCCTCATTTATTGGTCAAAAAAATAAATTTTTTATCATGCATGTGTTAAAGAAGATGTTCTGCTTGCTTGCACATAGCCAGTGAGAAAAAAGTTGAAATCCAGTCCATTTAGGGTGGTTCTAAGTTGAAAACAATATAGTTGTGACGTAACTACCGGAAAGGCCCATTACGACCAAATGGAAACCAGGTTTGGTTGAGACCTTTAAGCTTTTTTATTGCAATCATCCGATCATGTGGTGTGAGTCGTTCTCAGTCGTCATTGTACTACTATGTAGCGTGCTGCATGATGGGATCCGTTCGTGAATCTTCGTGAACCAATGATGTAAATCCCAGGCCTTTGATGCCCGCACTGTATGTTCGCGGAAAATCGAGCACATGATTAAACTGATTCACCTAGTTCATATAATGTATTCAAATTGACGTCGAAAATTGGAAGCGCCAAATCTGATATCTTTATATTTTAGTAAGGCTGTGTATACAGTGAGTAGTAATAAAAAATTATGACAATCGATATTGCTGTACAGTACGTGGTAAATTGTCAGCCAGAGATAAATTGTCAGCCAGGGTGTAACTAATCTTAGTACTTCTTAAACTATTTTGTAATAACAGGAAAACTGTTTCAAATGAAGAGAGTAAATCAGATTGACATCACACCTACACTGGCTGTCTTGTTTGGTTTATCCATTCCAAAGAACAGGTAAGGATGCAACCTCGTTCCCAGGTTTTTGATTTGTATGGATGTCAATGACTGCAAAACCTCAACCTATATACTGTACGTGAAGACTATACAATGTATAATATGCCCTACCTTTATTGGATGGCCACAAGTCATTCGTATACTGTCTATTAATAATACACAATGCAAATAGCGGTTGACATTTCATGGTTTTAACTTGCATGAGGATAAGCGCAATTACATTTAGCTGTCTATTCTTGACTCATTGTATAACAGTCCAAAGACATCTGGCATAATGATTATTTCTCTTGTTCAGCATTGGAATTGTTATTCCTGACTTGCTCACACGGTACTCTGTTAAGGAACGCTTGGAGGCACTTCGTATGAATGCTGTACAGATCTCTAATGTTTACCAGTCCAACACAGATAACGAGTCTGCCATTGATCTAGATTTAGCTGTAAGACTTCACGAAGAATGGCTGAGAGACTGCGACAACAAAACCCGCATTGATCTAGACGTTCGTGCCGAACAGATATCCAAGCTTTACTATTCAGGAATGCAGGTGATGACCGAGAAGCTGACGACATTTATGTCCTCGTACGACTTTTATGCTCTTTATATTGGGATATGGCTTTTGGTACAGTCTCTATTGGGTTCTGTCTCCTTACACGTCGACCTATTACCCCAGGATTTATCCAAGTTTATTGGCGTACATTTTCCCACTTTGTCAATTACATTTTTGGTGATCGTTTGTCTAACTGGCTGCATTCATGTCCATCTTTGTTCAACTCAAGGATTAGGTAATTTATTTTGGTTTTTAAAAGATCTTTACGTTACTTTTTGTATCCCAAAGGTTTCTCTTATTCGCAGTGCATGGTGCCTAAATTACTTTGAATTTGTACTCAAGTAAAAGTAGAAGTAATTAACAATAAAACGACTTGAGTAAGAGTAAAAAGTACTGGAAGCAAAACGTACTTAAGTAAAAAGTACAAAGTATCCTTAAAAAATACTTGAAGTACAAAGTAAAAGTAAAAGTACTATATATTGTATGTAGCGTGTAGAGGGGCTGGTGGGGACTTCTCCAATGGATTGATATACAAAAGATTATTTATACAATATTTCACGGCATGGTCTACTTTCCAGACCCCGCGTTGTCGTTGAAGATATAAGGAAATCCATTAAATAAATCATGCTTATAAGTAAGCGGCAAACGAGTGATCCCAGACGCATGTAGAGGTCGTATTATCTATTCCAAAACTAAAATAAATCAGAAATAAATCACGTAAAATTAAACAAATGTTAGAAAGTAACGAAATACTTCACCACAAAATGAAAATAACGAAGTAAAACGTTACTTCTTAAAACGACTCCGTTCCAAGTAAAAGTACTCCAGAAAAAGTTTACTTTGTTACATGCTGACTTCTCAAAAATAGTACTTAAGTACAGTAACGAAGTACATTTACTTCGTTAATTGACACCACTGCTTATTCGAGACATTGCACAAATAATGATTATACTGTATACCATATCATGCAAGGAATATTGCTATACTGTATTTCGACGTATTCAAGTAAAGTGCCAATGAAGGCATCCGTACTGTACTTTATTGCACTAAACGGCTATTACTTCTTTACCAGTAACCATATATGAAAACCTACTACGATTTATATATCGTACTAAACATCTATTTGGCGATCCAGACATGCATGCTCACTAAATAAATGGTAAAATTCGGGTTTAGTAACTTACAAAGAACTTATATACATACTCGAAATTTTCAATTAAACTTGATTGATCATGACAATTTTTTATCTTTGTACAGGAACAAGTGAGGTGCTCTGTGTCCCTTCGATGCTATCTTTTTTACTATCATGTATTTTTATTGTATCAACTGCGATCACATTATTGGGTTTGATGATCATTCTTATCAACATGATTGCTTTTGGATTACCGACGTGGTTCCACACATCTTCCGTAGTAAGTATTGAACCCGTTACTTTCCTTGTCATCGGATTACTACTACACAACATAAGTTTACTTTCCACAAGTTTTATAGAGGAGGAACATCAGACATGGTATTTTTTGACAACTACATATCACCTAATGTTATTATATAAGATACATATTAAGAGGAAAAGTACATCATATTCCAACGAGGAGGAAACGTCACCCAATGACTCTCCTCTTAATGCAACATCTTCAACGGGAAATCTTGTAACAGACAAAGTTAAAAATCGAGGAATAGCAAAAGATCACGTTGGTAGAAGAACTGACCGTAATCGTAAAAGAACATCAGTTTATATGGTTATTTTGCTGTTATGTGCTAGAACACTACGGAGTTGGAATCAAACTGGGATAAAATGGGCTGACCAACCTGATGTTGAGGATTGGTTAGTGAATCCTGAAAATAAGACTGTACTCTCTTTACTTACCATCATTTCTTTCGTTGGAATAACTTTGAACATCTTTTATAAAATTGAAAGAAATCGATGTGGTCTATTTGAGTTTATTGTCTTCACAGCCGGCGAGGTAGGCGTGTACCTTTATAGAGCTGCTACAGGTTGTGTTAACCTTCTCTGGAGCCCGGGAACTCCTCAAGCTGGCATACACTTTGCTCAATTTGTTCACCTCTGTGTACTAGTCTTGGTATTAAAATCATTGTTTCGATTATACTATGATAGAAGAAAAGGATATCCAATGCAGGGATCACCTTTGGAAGTGCTTGTTACTGGTTATGTGTTATTAATTACACTTCTTTTAAGAACTCATAACATCCCACTTGTCGCCTTAATGCTTGTGCAAGTTCATGTTCACCGTGAAGTTATATGGAAAAGGTAGGGGTGTATATACTATTAACTATATTTTAACTGTTGTTGTTAGTAGTCATTAGGGCCGCAAGTCCTCCCCAAAAATTCCGGCTGCCACGCAGGCTACTACAGTGAATAAACTGTGGTGAATGAAGTGGTACGTCTTATAGTACGTACCCCAATATTTTCTTAATGCGAGTGCTCTCTTTTTGTGACGTGTGGCCATTAGGAGGAGTAAAATACTCTGAGTGTCTACACACCGGACAAACTGAAACATTACTTGACCGCGGCGGAAATCGAACCTGCAACAATGGGCTTGCTAGTCCAATGCTCTACCAGTTGAGCTGCGAGGTTGAGTTGGTTCAAGCAAGCCAATGATCACGTGTAGTTGGCCCACTGAACTCTATAAATGCTGGAACGATAACTCGGGCTTGATTTTTGAAGCGAAGATGGCGGGATTTGAAGGCCGTCTTCTAGGTATGATCCAGGCCCCTGCGCGGAAATTCACTAAATTCAGTAAGAAAAAACTGGTCTTATTTCATGTAAAAGTTTCATATTTTTCAGCCAATTGTTTGTTTAGTCGGGCTTTACTATGCCGCTAGGATACTAGTACAAATGGTCTAACTTTCAGAATAAGTAAATTTAGAAATACTTCGTCATAAATAGTAAAGTTATCTCGTGAGTGAAAAACAAGTTCGGAATAAAAAGCAATTTCTTGGTTTTTTTGGGCTATCTATGTGGGATTTGAAAAGAAAACAGAATGATATGGACTGCATTTGCATCAATCTTACCTTTTTGTTTAGTTTTTGGCTTTTAGTTTTTGGCTTTTAGTTCTGAAAATTAGCATTTTTGTGCAAAAATTGAAAAACATCGATCGGAAAACTTTAGTCATTTTTCAGCTCCCGCGAAGCACACGAAAAAAACGCATGTTTTATACCTACAAGAGAACACTCTATAAGCCGCCATCTTGGCTTCACGCAATCATAGGGCAGTTTATCTGCAGTTATCGTTCCAGTTATAATAGAGTTCACTGAGTTGGACTGACAAACCAATGATCACGTGTAGTTAGACTAGCAAACCAATGATCGCGTGCAGTTGGACTAGCACTGAAACCAATAATCACGTGTGGTTGAACTAGCATACCAATGATCACGTGTGGTTGGACTAACAAACCAATGATCACGTGTGGTTGGACTAGCAAACCAATGATCACGTGTGGTTGGACTAGCAAACCAACGATCAAGTGTAATTGAACTAGCAAACCAATGATCACGTGTAGTTGAACTAGCAAACCAATGATCACGCGTAGTTGAACTAGCAAACCAATGATCACGTGTAGTTGAACCAGCAAACCAATGATCACGTGTAGTTGAACTAGCAAACCAATGATCACGTGTAGTTGAACTAGCAAACCAATGATCACGTGTAGTTGAACTAGCAAACCAATGATCACGTGTAGTTGAACTAGCAAACCAATGATCACGTGTAGTTGGACTAGCAAACCAATGACCACGTGTGGTTGAACTAGCAAACCAACGATCAGGTGTAGTTGAACTAGCAAACAAATAAATGATCACGTGTAGTTGAACTAGCAAACCAATGATCACGTGTAGTTGAACCAGCAAACCCATGATCACGTGTAGTTGGACCAGCAAACCCATGATCACGTGTGATTAGACTAGCAAACCAATGATCACGGGTTTGATCCCACCACAATCAAGTAATTTTTCAGCTTGTGTGTGAGGAGCGTCGTGGAATAGCGTCATTCAATCCCACAATAATTAGACTTTATATACTATCACAATGTAGAGTTAGGTGCAGTTTGAAAAGGTCAATACATTTATTAAACATAGCAATCATTACTCACTAGGATTACTTCATTAACTCTTTCTCCTTATTTAGATGTGACAGCAATGTGGAGATAATCTTAAGTGCTTACTATATTGGTTGGTTTACGTACTTTGCACTAGGGAATTCCAACAGTTTAGCTACGGTTGATATTGGAGCAGGTTATATTGGCTTGGGTCAAAATTATTGGCCTGCCTTTGTTGGCTTATTCACATCCCTGGCAACATTCTCTGGACCTTTATTTTGGTTGATGCAAGCGGTGATGTTTATTCAGAATAAACATAATTCCAGTAACAGGTAAATTTTTGCGCTTTGCTTTTTCCGCCCGTGAAGATATTTATTTCTGACTGGCTAAGAGTTAGAGGTCCCTTCTCCCGTCATCAGGACTGGTGTTGACGTACAGTACATGGAGTATGTCTACTCGTCTCATCATCAGTTGATTTGACTGACTGTCTCCCTAGATTCACGGGTGGAAGTGGAATAATGACTAATCAATAATAGGTTGAATATGTAATTTAATATGTAATGTAACTTGCACCGATGACACGAGTTGCAGTCGCTGAAAACTGTAAAGGATTGTCCATTGAAGTTAGATTACTGCATGTAAGAATAACCCGCGCTGTACTAAACTCCCTGTAATCAATGTCGTGGAACGCGTAGTGGTAGCAAACCCTGCAAATCTAACAACCATTTAACTTTGAGCGACGAATGAGCGAATTTAAAAGAAACATCCTTTCAGATTCTAACATACCATGGGAAAACGACCATGGACATGCGGTAGGGAGATCTATAAGTATAAAACTATCCTATGCATACACTACACATGCTCTACAAATGCACTTGTCCCAGCATGCGACAAGTAATCGTGCTTTTCTAATAACGTCTATCCTGCCTCTCAAACAGGTCTACTTCAGTATTTGGTGGTAGTCAAGTCTTTACTGTTCTTCTGATGATCAAATCATTCAACCTCACAGTGTGTACGATATTATCCTGGCTCAACTGTTATCATTTATTTGTCTGGAGTGTTTTCTCGCCAAAATTGTTGTATGAAGGGGTTGTAAGTCTTGTTTTAGGTGCTTTTATTTTAACTGTTTCTACACTTATGAAAATTTAGAAAGATACGAGTGGTCCTCTACTTGCAACATTGTATACTCTAAAATGAACTTGTATCTGTTATTTAAATTAATCAGTTTCTCGACCAATCGTATATTTAATACTGTATATAGTACCGTACAATATTTCTCTGCAGTTTGAAATGAAAGTATTGACAGCTTTTCGAAGGTATCGCAATTTTTAAGTTTAATGTTCATTGCACTCAAGTAACAGTATCTTAACAATTCATGTGGTACAATTTCAAACTCATGCGACTGCACAGATGAATTGCAAGACTTGCTTCTTCAGGTGTATCTTATTTGCTTGCCCGCAGACCCATGACGCAGAAAATTGGAGGAGCCTGCATGCACAGGAGGTTGTAATATCACCTGACCTGCGAACAGGCATACTCTGGGTACATGATTGATTGTGGCAATAACAAAGTGGCGTGCAAAATGCCTTGATAAAATTATTATGGAGATTGTAAATTATCATTACCTGTGGATAACTAAGGCCGGATTTTCCTGTAAATGTTGGGGAAGGTGGAGGAGGTACAGGTATATCGGTGCGGACTTTTGGGCTTTAAGGCGTCCCCCCCCCCTCTCCCCCCAATGTATTTATATGAATTGTGCGACTGTATGACTCCTCCAATTTTCCCCTTCGTTTAATGTTGCATTAATTAAAAGGGTAGTTGGCATGGAGGTGAATGATTATCAATTTGTCAATGTTATAGAAAAATTACTTTATTTCAAGTAGAAATTTTACAGTAAATGTAGAACTTAAGCAAGTCATAAAGATTCAATAACAAACAAAGTGAACTGTGAAGTTAATGTTAACGTAATGCGTTCAAACGGCTCATTCACGACCTCTGTCCATCACAAATGCACTTCAACTGGCTTATTCACAAACTTTGATAGCTTTATTCCAATGATGTACAAAAAAGGTCTCCTCTTCTCTCTTATATCTCGATATTTCAACATTTGTTTTTCTTACATATCTTTCCAGTCTGAAATGGAAAATTTTAAGAAAACCTTTTCTTCCAATGGTTATCCTAAAGCACTTATAGATAGTTGCATTAGGACATTTCTTGACAGGATTTACAACACCAAGGCCAAGGTCCATACATGTTCCAAGAAAATTGTTTACTTTTGCCTTCCTTTCACTGGACATCATGGTCTTCATATCCGTACACAACTTAGTAAAGTTCTTGCTTCTGCTTATCCACATATTTCCATACGTGTTGTTTTCCGTCCTTCTTGTCGCCTTTCTAGTTTCTTTCCATTCAAAGGCAGGATTCCCATTGCCCTGAGATCACTTGTTGTGTATCAGTTCACGTGTCAATGCTGTAGCGCATTGTATGTTGGCCAAACACGCCGACACATTCACACACGTATCTCAGAGCATATGGGAGTCTCGCCTTTGACTGGAAAAGAACGCTCTATCTCAACCACGTCTGGTATACTCGCTCACAAACACACGCACAAACACCCAGTCTCTGCTTCCGATTTCAAAATTCTATCATCAGGCACTTCTGAATGGGATCTTCTTATCCGTGAAAGCCTATTAATTTCTCAAATTAACCCTGTCCTTAATGCTAATATTAGATCTACCCCTCTTGAGTTATTTTAGTTATGTAATATTAACCTTAACTATACTAACCATGCAATTAACATTAATCTTTACTTATTAACTTGTTACTGATAAGTTGTTTTCCTTTCTTTCTATTCATTTGTTCTTTCAAATTATGTAACCGTTTTTGTAATAGTAAACCATTATTTTGTAAATATATATACCACACCCTGTAAATTCATTTAGATTGCTCTGAAGATGTTATATTGTAAACAACGAAACGTTAGCTAATTAAATTTTTACTTTTATTATGTTTGGTTTTAAAGTTATTTGCTGGGCTTTGCTCTTTATCTTTAAACTGTGAAGTTTGAGTCAAATCTTCACTTTGATAAATCATTTCACCTTTCTCATTTATCTTCAGGGTGAAGGGGGTGTACAAAACGATATCGGGGGAGGTGCATAAGTCTTCACATCATCATTTTCTTATAGTCTATACTCGCGTTTCAATACTCATGGCAACAGCGGGAATCGCGAATTAGTGGCAGATCAAATTGCGATATAAATCATTTAATAGTAAAATTATATAAATACAGGAATTTTAAATATTTCCCTTTCTAAAATGAAATATACGGTCAATAAATATACAGAACGTCCCTATACACATTACATTACAGGTTTGTAGCTTATAGCTCATATGGTCTGGCTTAGCCAGCTGTACTCAATGAGGCTGTACTCTTCTCAAAAATATCACACAATAATGTCGACCACGTATATTTTTATTTGGTTTAACTATGCGTGGTGTTTCCACAAAACAAAACAATAGTGCTTTTATGACGTCAAATGCGGAAAAACACTTAATGATAATTTTATGAAATTTATTGACCCGCCAACACTTTGCATTGTCCTGTGGGACATCACATAAATTGGTTTTCCGCGTTTGACGTCATAAGAAAGGTCTATTATACTTTTTCAGTCGCTATGCAAACATGCAAAGAAATGTATACCATGCTGATACTCTTATCTTGTCTTAAAAAAACTGTATGTTCAAATTTAAAAGATTATTTAAGTATTCTCATGGAAAAATATGCATTTAAGTAGAAGGTTATCCAAAAATGGCTATTCCCTAAACCCGGTTTGGTCATGGCAGTCGAAACCGTTTACCTGATGCCTAGCTCGCCATCCGCAAGCAAATAAACGCCTGCTACGCAGGCTACCTGATGCCTGGTATGCTTGATTTAATATATGTGTCGCGATACAGTTCTGAAATCAGTGAACTGATTTGATGACAACACACAAAAGACAAGATAGATCCATCACGATCAGCGGCGCCGGAAGCAACGTGAAGTGGTGGGGGTAGTCTTAAGCCCGAGACACATCAGACGCGATTCGACAACGCGGCGCGATTTTTCAGTTTTTGAAAGTTTACAAAACAGCCAATGAATTAAAGGAAATTTTAAAAGATATGTAGACCAA